CCAATAAAGGCGTTTCCAGCGAAACTACGGACGGATGATGAGGCAGCAACAAGGAATGCCACATCCTAAAGCGCCTCTATTACTTAAGGTAGCCAATCAGAACGTCCTCAAAGGTAGTAAAGAGACTGGTACAGATGAATCAATGAAGGAACTGCCAGAAACCTCTTCTGGGAGGTCAAGATTTGAGAGGGACAAAAAGGATGAAGAAGATCCAGATCAGCCCCTTACTATCCAATTCGGTACGTTGCCTCCTGTCGTGGCTAATAATTACCTACTGGCCAATGAATTCAAGAATAAAGAAAAGGAAGAAGAGAGGGAGGACAACGAAGGAGAAGCCTGCATGCTGGTATGTGAAGAAGGCCAGACTTCTGGAGAGGCCTACAACGATGAAGAGGACGATGGGATGACAGACATTGAAGAAGAAATCGACCTAGAAGCAGAAAGAAAAAAGAGCGGAGTATCGCGCAACACTCTGTTTAAGCAACTACACCAAGACGGAGTTCGCGAAGTAGACTTGTTGGGGGAGCCATCTGGGCGTCCTTTCGACTTCTACGTACTATACGGGACACCCAAAAGGAAGAAGAGAGTACCTCGCTCTGAAAAGTATGGGTCACCTCCAAAGATAATGCCCCCTCCCACAGGTTGGATAACTGATGAGGAAGCATTAGAAAGAAGTAAGAAGGAAATTCGGGAGACAGAGGATCAACGTGACATACTACATGTCGACCTATCACAGGGGGATAATTCGACAGAAAACAAGCAAGAAGTAGAAATAGAGGCTGTCGAAAAGGTTGTTTTTAAACGGCCAGCCATGAAATTGACAAAACACCTGAGGCCATGATACGTTAAAACTCTAGTTAACGGCGTCCCAGTGGCAAAGGTGCTTGTCGATAATGAAGCGGCTATAAACACCATTCCATCCAAGATGATGAGAAAGTTTGCAAAGACAGAGGGTGATATGATTCCTACAGAAGTCATCCTCACTAGCTTCAATGCAGGAGCAACTTCAGCTAAGGGAGTTATGCCTTTAGACATAACTATAGGTACGACTACTAGGACCGCTGTCTTCTTTATAATAGATGGCCCTACTAGTTACAATGTGCTCCTAGAAAGAGATTGGATACACGGAAGCCGCTGTATACCCTCGTCGCTCCATCAATGCCTGATTTTTTGGAATGACAAAGGCGAAGTAGAGGTGGTACAGGCCGATCATAGACCTTTTGTCGCGGAAGCAAACTCGGTGGAAAAGTTCATGTACGAAGGAAACTATGGACCTGTCAGAGTGGTACAAGACGGGGAAGAAACTCAAGTTGTCGCGCAAAGCGAAGAACCATTCTCAGTGGACGCACTCACTGAGATGTTCAAACAGATGAGGCCAAATATAGTGGCCCTGGAAGAGCCAGTGATTGGCAAAAGAATAATCAAGGAATCTTAAATGGATTCTGAGTTGCAAAAGCAAATGGCCGATATTCAGGCCTTCAAAGCCAGACTGATGGCTTTCAATAAGGAATGCAATGACAAAGCAAAGGAAGAGACTGCCCTAAAAGCGCTGAAGGACAAGTTGGCAGTATTCGAGTTAGAGCAAAGCCTTGGCCGAGAAGTCAACAAGGTGGACTGTTTGGAAGAGGAAGTACTTACAAAAGAACTGGACGACGAAGTGATGCGGATTGCCAAACCTGGATACGCTCAAGCGCAAGACCCTCTGATCAAAGTAAA